ACTCGTCCAAGCAGTCACTGCAGGGTCAGCAATGACTGAGCGCAGACAAAAAAAAAAAGTCAATCTTAGTTGAGCTCCATCTGAGAGACATAATCTCTTCAGTGGTGGGGGAAAGATCCAGTAATGCTGAGGATGCATTGGAATAACAACGGAAAAACAGGGAGGGAAATCCAAGGGTAAAGGAACAAGAAGGAAGAAAATATGGAGGTAGGCTTGTCCTTTTCTAAAATCCAAGACAGCCATGAATAAAACAAGGGGAAATGAGCCTTTCTTTTTAAAGCTACACTGGCATAAAATAGAAAAGAGAAAAGATGCAGTACAGGAATCGAACATTTTCCTGACAGCACACTACCTGGGCTTCTCCTGCGCATCTATCTGGAGGTTGATGTCATCCATCCACAGCAGAAGGTCACGCACCATACGGAAAAAGCGGAATTTGTCAACGGTGTCCAGGAGGAGTTGGCGACGGTCGCTGCTGCTGCTGAGCAGGTCAGACCAGGCCTCACTCACCGACTGCTCATGCCTCCGGATGTCATCAGCCTTTTCCCCGGCATAGGCCTTCTGCAACCGTGCTGCGTCATCCTGCACTTGCTTTACCTGTGAACAGCCATGGCAGGGGGGGGACAGGATGCAAGGCTCAGTTCCAATCGACCACTTTGTAAATGCTCCCACTTCATATTGCACATTAGGCAGGAAGTAAAATGCTTGCTTTTCAACTCAGGGATGGAAGAACCTCATCTGTTGTGAGACGCTTTGGGAAAGAGTGGGGTGAGGTGTTTGGGTTCATCTGAGAAGAAGCAACAGACAGTCCAGATGGGCCAAACAGGAAATTCTGGCCCAGCAACTGAGTAACCCTGATAGCATTATGTGTGGAAGCCAGTCAGGGATGCTAGGTTATCTTGCAACGAAAAGGTGGACTGATCAGCATTTGCAAGGCATAGCTGACTCCAAAGCATCCATAACTAACTCTCTGCCTCCTTCCCTCTTCCCTGTCTTTCAGCGAGCAGATGACTTTTTGGCTCTTCTTCCCCAAATAGGGAGAAAGAGTTTCAAAGAGGCTCTGCCTTAATTAACTCATGATAACTGAATGTGGGCATTTACTGTTCCAGTTTTCAAGAATCCATTTCCCCCCCCCAGACTAGCCTTCTGGATACCTGCGTGCTTTTTGTTTCCTTGGTTTGCCAGCTCCATGGAGCTTGACATCTGTGGAAAGAGAATCATTTCTACAGGTGAAGAAATGCAGATTTGAAATGTAGGCGACCAGTAGCACAATTAGTTAAAATCAGAATGACTAAATTGGAAGGCAAGAGGGAGTGAAAAGAACATACTAAAAAATGGGTGTTCCTTCCAAATGTGGACAGGAGGTTTCTAAAAAAGGAAAATGTTTTGGCCTTGTAATCTGGGCACCCCGATCTTTGATTTTGGTTACAATCTGAGCCTGGTTTCATTGTGATTTGCTGCAGCAATCGGGAATGGGGAAAAAGGAAAACGTGAAAGCTATTTCTAACAATAAGCAGGTTAAATTGAAAATCAGGTGGACTCATGACTTTTCTCGACTCCCTTGCATCTTGATAAGTCACTGTCTGGTACGGTGTTTTGCCCACGCAGTAGACAGTTTTTGAATCTTATTCATCCCCACAACACAAACCTGAGCACTCAAGGCCTGAATGTCATGTTCATAGGCAGTGTGCATCCGCTGCATGGCTTCAGCTGTGTTGAGATCCCACCCGGCTTCATCTGGTAGCTGCTTCTGTTTGTTCTGGACCTGGCTGAGGGTCTCCCGGGCATCATGGTAGAAGCGGTGTAACTCATAGGAAGCTGCCAGCATCTGGCTTCTAGTGTCAATGAGTTCCAGGAGATCTGCCCAGGCCTCATTCAAGCTGTCCTTCCACTCAGCAATGGTGGCATTCTCTGAATGGCCAGCGGAGATCATCTCATCAGCCAGCCGGTTGACCCCGTCCACTCTCTCCTGGCCAATGGTGCTGGTGTCACGGGAGAATTCCCGGAACTTGTCCCGCAGCATCTGTAGGGAAGGAGGGGGCATAATATGAAGGATGCAGTGGTTAAAGCCACCCAGAGTAGAAACAGCTGAGAGTCATATCCCTTACTCAAAAAAGAGAGGGGGGAAAAAAGCAGTGGGATGCATTAAAATTAAATGCATTAAAAGAACAAGGAAGCAGGTAAATTTCCAGAGAGTAATTTTCCCAACTAGGTGTCCTTCAGCTGTATGGACTTCCAGAATTCCATAGCCAGCCTGGCCACTGCAAGGAAGTCTGGGAGTTGAAGTCTGGCCATCTAGAGCAGTGTTTCTCAACCTTGGCCACTTTAAGATGGGGGGACTTCAACTCCCAGAATTACCCAGCCAGCATGATCTAGACTATGCCAAACCTGGAATAGACAACGTTGGGCCAGCAGGTACAGCCTAAGGTAGGAGTGAGCTACTTCTCTGTAGGTCAAAGGGGCATGGGGGGGTACTTAACATTTTTTTTTTTAAGTGTCAGAATCAGATTTGAAGGGTCTCTTTCTGCCGCTCCAGATGTTATGGGCCTGAGTGTGAGACCCACCGTAACATGTTCATAATCCTGGCCAAGCTCGTGGGAGGCGGCCACCACCTCCCGTTCGGAGATCCACTGCTCCAGGTCATCCACTTCCCGCTTCAGCTGGCAGAGACGGAGGTGCTCCTGGAGTTTGGCACGACGCTCCTCGGCAAGGTCTTTCAGGCTGGCATAGAGCTTGTCCACTTGGCCTTGCCGAAGAGTGATCCGCTCACTGAAAGTCCAAGAAGAGGGAAGGAGGCAGAGAGTTATGGAAGCTAAAGAAGCCCGAGATCAATGATGGCAAACGTATGACCCGCGTGTGAAAGGTGACACGCCACGATGTTTTGGGTGACACGCCACTGTTCACCAACACCCAACAACAACTATTCTCCCTGTTTGAGTTGGCAAAGAAACTGAGTTTGTTTTACTTGTATTTCATTTTTGTAATTATTTGATGTTTCTTTATATAATACATAGCACCACACGATTGGACTGTATTTTTTTAAAATAAATGAATATGTAAAGAATTGTTTCTCTTCTGTTTGGGGGGGGTTGACATGCCAGCAGAGTCAAGTGAGGCATTTTCCAAATTTTCGACACGCTGAGCCCAAAAGGTTCACTATCACTGTCCTAGATATTTAATTTTGGAGTCAACTCTACCTAGCCAATGCTGAAAGCCCACCCTTTTCCTGCAGGATATCCTAGGATCCCTGACTGGCTTCCACACCTAATCCTATCAGAGTCAGGCAGCTGCTGACCCAGAATCCCGACTGTGCACGAGTTATCTTCCTCAAACCCACCTCTTCTTGCTATTTATCATCTTCAGATGGACAGCAGCTATGGCTGGATCATGAACCCAGTTCAAGTTCGTGCAACCTCAGAGCTCAGCGGATCCTTAACTAGAATTGTTTGATTATTTCCCTGGATCTCAGGGATAATTCCTTGCTATATTATGAACCCCTTTCCAAGTTATTGAATAAGAAGAATGATTCAGGATTCCATTTTTTTCTATGAACGATAGGAATAAAATCCACCCTGACTGCAAGTCAGGCTGTAATCCAGGTAAAGATCATTTAGGCTGCAATCCAATGATCCTTCAAACAGCATCTCATGACATACAAATTTATCAGTCCCCCTTTCCCTCTGATGTCAAACACAGAGTTCTGTTCTCAGAGGCAGGGAATCCAAAATCAAATCACCTTCTTTCCTCCCAGGGAACATACCATGATGCTGGTTTAAATAACTTCCCACCCACTGCCAGTGGGAGGGAAACACTGTAAAAATATCGGAGCATGGGGGAAGGGACAGAGAAATCAATATTTCATCCTGCAACAGGGAGAATTTATAAATATGTGAGAGTAGTCCATTACACATAGTCCTTGACTTACAACAGCAATTGGGACTGGAATTTTTGTTGCTAAGAGATGCGGTCATAAAGCGCGACTACATCGCTTAGTGACAACAATCCCTGCAATCCCAGTTGCCATCATTAATTGAATCCCATGGTCATTAGGCGAGCCAACTTCCTGCCAGCTTCCCACAACCAAAGTCAGTGGGGAAGTCAGCAGGAAGTTGTAAATCCCAGGCCGGCAGGCAGGTAGGTGGCTGGCTGCTGCCAGGTGGGGGAGGGAACAAGGGAGTGTGCGAGAGTGCAAGGGAGGTGTGGCAAGGGTGTGCAGGGGTGAGCAATAGGCGTGGGTCAGGGAGGGTGCCAGCGTAAACGCAGAGGGGTTGGAAGAGGCTGCACAGGTGGGGGAGACTTATCCCAGCGACCTTCCCTGCCGGCTTCTCCACTGATTTTCTGGGGTAGCCAGCAGGGAAGGATGCAAATAGCAATCACATGATTGTGGGGTGCTGCAACCAACTCTAAGTACGAACTGGTTGCCAAGCACCCAGATCACGATTACCTGACCACGGGGGTGCTGGGACAACCAAAATTCCGAGGACCAGTCATAACCACCATTTGTTCAGCGCCATCGCAACTTCAAACGGTCACTGAACGAATGGTTGTAGGTCAATGACTACCTGTATTGGAGCCCTCCAAGTTACATTAAAGACTGCTCTGTCTACTGGTCGATCATGTAGCTTCATTTTAGTTATTTATGTCAATCAGATATAGATAAGACAGATTTCGGGTCTACTCCTTTAGAAAGTAGCATATATGAAATGGCATTGGCTTGTTAAAGAAAGCAAGTTATGAAAAAAAAGTGAATTTGAATCACACGAGTTATCTGAATTATTCTTAGCAAGACAGCTTTAACATGACCTTAGAGGGCTGAATTATAGTACAGTGCTCTTTAACTGTATAGCACCTAGGCAGTGCATTTTTACTGCTGCATTATTAATGAAATTAATAAATAAGTAGCCTTTCTTCAACCACAGCCAGCAAGTTTTATAAGATAGGTGGAGAAAGGTACATGTACATCCACAATATTGGAAATATTGAAGGCAGGGAAACCTTACCTCTCAGGGTGGCCATTATTCACCATGTCACGGCTCTGGACAGAGAGTTGATGGATTGTCTGGGCATAATCTTCCAGAGCCTGCTCCATCCCCAAATGTTTCTTTACCATGGCCTGAGCAATCAGCTCATCCTGGGGAAAAGAAAAACCAAAGTGCTGTTTTTTCTTCCTAGAAGACAGGAGGGATGTCAGCACAAGCTTGTGCAGCAATAGCATGGAGTACTGGAGTATGGGGCATTAATTGCCAAAACAGGATTAAATCCTGAAACTGGCTATTCTGCATCAGCATTGGTGCTCAAGTGTGTAAACAAGAGTTCTTCTCTACACAGGCAGATTTCCTTTCCTCCTTGTCATCAAACCTAGTTTTAAAATACGTGTTTAAACATCTGCTATGCTACTTCCCAGGTCAAAAGTCAATGCTGGTGCCTCTCGAATGCATAACCAGCTTTCAATCATCTGGATTTAGAAGGTAAACATGAGTCCCACCACTGGGTGATTACTAGACAGAGATTGATCTCAAGTAGGGGAGAGTAGTTAAGTACAGCTCTCATCAAACTTAACTCCTTTGTCCATTCCGGTTTTTCAGGATGTTTTTAGGAATGCACAGATCAGGTGTACTAAATGTCTTTTCCACTCCTCTACGCAATTAATTGTGGTAGCTTTTCTACCTCTTCAAATATTTCTTTTTTTTAAAGAGCTAATTTAATTGAATCAAGCAGCCCTAATTCTAAGTTTGCAGACCCACTTTTGCCTTCTCCTCTGAGATCATGTGCAACTCCTGTTCACCCATCCAGGCCTCGGCCTCGGCAGCGTCAAAGTAAAACTGCTGGGCCATCTGTGCTTTCTCCAGCCGTCCGTGCCGCTGGTCCACCTGGTCTTGCAGCTCCCGCCACATCTCCTCTAACGTCTCTACGCGGCCCTGCAGCTCCGCCTCCAGGCCACTACACGCCAGCCCCTGCCATCTCCCCAGAATGTCGTTTATGCGTGGCTGGTGTCCTTGGATCTCTTTCTGCAGAGTCTAACAGAGTGCCCAGGAGAAAGCATTAACAGAAGAGCAGGCTTCAAAAAAAGCACAGTATGCCCATCTTTTCCTATGATGGACTCAAACTCAGGGAAAATTCTACTGGAATAAAATCTATTGGTGTTAACTGGACTCATAACTTTTGCAAGCTTACCTGAAAGACCGATCAGTCATCATTGTTTGATGCAGAGATGAGCCACCTGCAGCCCTAAGTCTACTTTCATGTGGCTGTTAGTCTAATTTCAAAAGCTCTTTGCAAGCATTAAGTTCAAGGCTCTGGGATGACGGTCTCTCTTTCCCCTTCACCCCAGAGGGGAAAGGGAAGGATAGGTAGACGATTGAAAGACAGGAGGAGAAAGGTAGCTCAAACAAGCTTGCTCTGTCACTACTCATCATTTTCCTTTGCCCTGCCCTCTGACAGCTTAGCCCCAGGGAAACGCAGTTCCCAACACCAACAAAAATGATTTTAACCCCATTTAATAAACTGTGCCTTATAATGAGTCAAAGTTAAGCTTGGTGGCTCATTCTAGCTGTGTTCACATAACCAGGTTAACTACACATCTAATGGCTGCACACACACAGCCTGTGGAGCTTGAGTAGTATTGTTTGGCTTCCTTTGTAATTTAGTATGTTGTACAAACTCAGCCACTTTGATTAGTTTAGAATTCAATGTATTATGTGAACTCCCACAACTAGTAAATTCAGGAACTAAAACAAGTGTGTTCTCTGAACACAATCTTAACACATAATGAATCAGAATAACCTTTTCTTCTTCCTCATCCTATTCACTCCCTTTCAAACATTGTCTAACAAATGCTAACCTGATTCTTCTTGATCAGCAGCTGGACAGTGGGAAGATCTTTGCCGTGATCAGTGGAAACAGCCATGGGCATCCTTTCCTTCACCCATAGCTGCAGGACAGGAACAGAAGTAAAAACTGAGAAAAATCCAAGTATTTCTGCAGGGGATGTCCCATTTTTGACTGTTCTCTTCTTTGGGGCATCTTGCAAGGTTATATCCCACCCTGTTATTTTTTTTTAAAAAGCTCTCTTTTGTAAAACCTGTTGAAATCAGCCTTCTTCCCATTCCTCTTCCTATTCAACTCACAATTTCATCTTCCAGGTCACGATTGAACTGGTGCTCCTCCTTTGAGGCCAGCAGCTTCTTGCAGCGTTCCCCCAGTGGTGCCCTCAGCTCCATAAATTTGTCCTCCACTGACTGCAATTTCCCATCCACCTCCACCGTGTTGGAGTCCTCTTGGCTGAGGGCTAACGCCTGAGCCTTCAGCCCCTCCACCTCTTTTTCCCGCATGTCCATCTGGTTCTCCAGCAACTGGAGGCAAGAAGGAAGGAAAATGATCATGGAGTGATGGAGCTCTCTCAACTACATCCACAAACCCGCTAAACACACATTTTTCAAAAAAGGTCTCTTTCCTACAGTAGCAGTAATTCAATAATTCAGAATGTGACTCAGTGAAAGGTAGTTTCCACTTTTTCTAAGCTACTCCTACCAAGATGGCTTTCTTGGAGGGCCAATGTTGGTGCAAACAGAGCAAAGAAAGTTCTGTCTCTCCACACTGGACTGTTTAAAAACAAGTTTAAAAACATGTCTTAGTAAAGGAAGAGAATCTACAACAGCAAATGTAAAAACAAACTAAACACACACACACATACACACCCACACACAAATCAGCGGGTTAAAAAGATCATTTTTTAACAGATAAAATGTTCTTTTGATAAAGAAAAAGGGTTTTGAAATATACTAGGACACACACACACACCTAACTTGGTCTACACATCATGCAGTGCCATCATGCAGTTTGCTGTTTTGGATTTAGCCAAAACAAACAGTGATTTTACACAGCCCATTGTTTAGGGGAACTTGTAACCTCTGTGGCTTATGATCATTAAACTCCAGCAGCCTTGTTATGCACAAACACCATGCCTATGGCCAGGGCAATTTTCACTTTTTGTTACAGAGATGTGATTGGTGCAATGTGAAACACCTTCCTTATTGCCAAGAAATCAACCACTGGTAATACTTCAGGTTTTTGGGCAGAGGGCTTTTCCAACCCAGGCCCTGAATTTGGGCCCTTCTGCAAGGAGTTACTGAGCTCTTTCTGCAGAAGGGCCTGGAGAGCTGATTTCTTTTGACCCAACTTGCTTGTTTATCTGTTTCTTTTTTTAAAGAAATTTTTTTATTAAGTTTTAAAAAGCAAAAGGATAAAAGCTAACAAGTACTAATAGTCAAGAAGAAGAGTAGAAAGCAAGAAAGTTAGAAAAAAAGAAAAAAACAAAAGTGGCGGAAAACAGAGGAGGAGGAGGAGGAGGAGGAGGAAGGGCAGCAGCAGCAGCAGCCGCCGCCGAAAATAACTTCTGACTTCTTATACAGCAGATATAAATGAATCATATAATAACCTCTTAATCTAAAACTACATCTTGACATACATATTTTGTATAATATATTAATTTAACCAATCATCAAATCCCTATATCATAATTTCATTTTTTTCTGTTTCCTGCAAAAAGTCCAAAAGGAGCTTCCAACTGGCATTCAAGTTAATCAATGTTTTTTCTCTAAGCAAAGCTATCAATTTCGCCATCTCAGCTAACTCTGTCAACTTCACCATCCATTTTTCCACTGTAGGTAATGCTAACGTTACCTGCTGTTTCTTGAGCAAAATATTGACGCTGGTCAGGTCCTTGCCATAGTCATCTGAGAGCAGCTGAGCCTGCAGGCCGCTTAGCCAAGCCTCCAGGGCCGAACAGCTCTGTGTGAAGAGCTCAGCACGGTTGGCATCGAAGAGGCACTGAGCCTTGCTCTGGGTGCTGGATTCCAATTCTTGCCAGAGTTTCTGCAGATCATCCAGCTTGGCTCTCACCACAGGCTCCAATTCGGGTTTCTCTGCCACCAGCTGCTCCCCTTCCTGCCAAAAGGGAGAGATGGGAGGAGAGCTGGAGAGAATGTTTCAGAAATATCTTCCACAAGTCAAGACAAGGAGATACAATGGATGCAACTGAGGGAGGCCTCCCTCAGATATGTGGCTCTGAATTCTGAGAATCACTTAAGGGAGGGAAAACAAGGGTTAAAATTAAGCTCAGACTCCAAATCACTCCTGTAAAACAGGGGAGAAGAGACTGAGCCCCCTGGACTGCCTGGAACAATAGCTGTTTTGAGGTAGCCCAGGCAGTCTTCGCTGATTACAGTTGCAGCAAATGGGGTTGGAGTTTCTTGCCATTCTGAAAAGTGAAATGTTAACTTGATAGTGTAAACCCTAAACCAGTTTCTAAAAAAACAAAAACCTCCAACTATTGCCGACAAAAACTCAGACCATGCCCCAAATCCTAGTCCTGCCCAGATGCATGATATAACCCAGCCTGTTTTATATCATTGCCCATTTACTGACACCACCCACATCCACAAAATGGTCAATTCAGCCACCACCACACTCCCCTCACAAAGGTTGCTCACTTCTTCTGTAAAGGCCAGAGTACCTTTCTACATTCCAAAGTTACATTAAAGATTATTGAAGAGATAAAACACTTTCTCTGCAAGGCTAAAGCTAATGTGCTTTGAACTTTTCCTTTAACAAAATTATAGTTGCTATTATTAATTATTATTCAGTCCCATCAGACAGAGATGAAGGAAGTGCCTTTGAGCATATGTAACCAACACTTCAGCATGGGCAGAGCATGCTTTTTGTAGATTTATGGGTGAGGCAAGATGATGCAATTTCAACAGGGCTTAACTTCCAATGCAGGAAGGAAGGGCAAGCAAAAGAAGAAAGACAGACAAGCCAAACTAAGCAAACGGCAATGAACCTCTCCCATATTTAAGCCCACCTTCTGGATCTTTTCAAGCCAGCCCTTGTTGGAGGCCAACTCGGCCATGAACGCCTGGTGCTTCTGCCACTTGGTGTGGAGGTTTCGGGCTTCATCATAGGACATGTCCTGAGCTGAGAGCATCTTTTCATTGATCCACAGGGTGAGCTGGAGGACAGACAGAACAATTGCTTGAAGCATGAACTTCCCTCAGGAAAGCCAGATACCAATTTAGGAATGGAGAGACTCCCCTCTGTGCACATCCTGACTGTGGAGGTAATTGGGGGATACAGGAACTCAAACAATCTTAAAACTGATATAAGGAAGTAAGATGAATTCTGACGAAGCTTCATCTGTTTCTATGGGGAGCTGCCTGCCACTAGCTGCGTTATTCTGCTGTAAGAATAGGCATATGCAGAAACTGGACTATAGTTTCCATCATCCTATCACCCAAAACCTTGGGGGCCCTATGCTGTCTAGGAGCATGTCCCAGCTTCCACAACACCTAATAAATTACCTCTCAGTTACTCCCAGCCCTGAACCTTCCACCAAGGGATTGAGCCATGCTCACCTCTTGACAATCTTGCAGGAAGCGTTGAAGGACTCGATTGTCACGGAGCCGGGCCAGGAGATCCTGGGCTGCTTCTTGATTTTTCCTGTGTCTGAAAGCAATTAGGATGGAGGAGAAGCAGAAGGGAAGACACAGGCTTGAGTTAATCATATACTGCCCCCCAGGGATAATCCCAGCTGAGCAGCAACTCTTGCAAAAGGAGAGGATGCCTTATTAATCCTTGAAGGGATTGATTCCATGCACTTCCAGGGAGCTGTAGTCCTAACACATCTGGGAATGACAGGTTTGGGAAAGCTGCGTTCCCTCTTTACAGAATGCCTTGTGATACAAACAATAAAACAGCAGCAGAATTTCTGTGACTAGTCCCTAGTTGGAACCTAATGCAGTTGGCTGCTATGGACTTTGACTGCTGTTTCCATGAGAACTCAGCCCTACATACATGCTCATCTTATGGTGGAAGTTGAGAGTCTGTGCCCAAATTTGGATATACTGAATACCATGGTAATAAGGGTGGGGAAGCAGACTGACTTCTCTGCCTTTGTTACATCTGTGGCGTGGCTGTTGCATCAGAAACTGGGACAATACTGTATTTAGCTATGGATGGTAGAAAGAGCCGCACAGCCTAAGAGTCCTTCTAGACTCTCATCTCCTGATAGAACACCAGATGGAGGCTGCAGCCAAGAGAACCTGAAGCTGGTATACCAGTTGCAACCATTCCCAGAGCAGAAAAGTGCAGGCTAGTCGTTCGTGCCCTTGTCACTTCATGGGTGGATGACTGTAACAAGCTCTACATAGGATTGTCTTGAAGATCACCTGAAACTGTAACTAATACAAAATGTATTGGCCTGCATGTTACCTGGGGTAACCCAGTATACCCATGTAACACCAATGCTGTGGGAGCTACCCTGGTTGCTGGCTTGTTTCTGGGCGCAATTCAAGGTGCTGATAACTACCTTTCAAGCCCTATATGGCTTGAGGCCTGGCAAGACTGCTTGCTCTGAGGAGAATCTCCCAACCCGAGGTGTCTTTACTGAGAGTGCTGAGTGAGAGTTTCCACTCCTGACAAGGTGTGACAGGAGGGGACTCAAGGCAAACATTGACTGCAGGAGCTCCCCACCTGTGAAACACCTTCTTGCCAGATATAAAAGTTACATCTTTATTTTTAATAGTTAGGAAGCATTTAAAACATGGCTTTTCAATGCTCACTTGGGGACTAAATTAGAGTGGGTAGCAGTCCCCGAATATGCAATGAATCTTTGTTGTCTGATGACATGCAGCACCAGGGTTTTACAATTAAGATTATAATATTGTGACTACTGATGGCATTTATTTTTGATTTATTGTTAATTTTGATACTTTTTATTGTTGCATTGTTAAATAATTTTGCTTAGCTTTAACCTGAGTTCATTACTGTGGAAACTTAATCCTCTGGTTCATTGATGATTCAATATATTGTGTGAAACCAGAAAATGAGTGCATTTAATCACTAAGTTAACTACACTTGACAAACCAGTCAATGTGTTAGAGAAGTCCAGTCTTCCTGGATAGGTTGGGCTTCAGGTTGTTTGTTTGCTGGGAATCATAAGCAATAAAACCCAATACATTTGGAGGATTCTGTAGTGGGAAATGCTGAAATAATCTAACTTGGAGGTTCCTGGACTATATAGTTGGAAGAGATCAAAGAGGCCATGAAGTCCAACTCACTGCACAGTACAGGAATCCTGATTAAAGCATCTCAAACAGATGGCTGTTGAGCTTTCACCTGAACACATCCACTAGAAGAGAGATCATACTTCCTGGGAATCCATTTCACTGTTGAACTGATTTATATGTGGATCTTGCTATACTTATATAATATCTTGCTATACTTAACTGATGACAAGTGTACTACACATTTCAAAACTGCTCCACCCCACACCTCAATTTGTGCGTGCTTGGATCGGACCAATCACCTCTAATAAGCCACCAGATACCTTAGTATGCTCTAATAGCCATAAGTAAAAGAAATCATATTCCATGTAAAATAGGAAAACCAATATTCAGGGATTTTGGTATGTTTTAAACCATTTCTGTTGGCTGATCACATTCTTATCCTTTCCTTCCTCTGAGCAGCTTATGGCAACGTACATGGTTCTCCTTCACACTTTATCCTTACAATTATCCTGCAAGGTAGATTAGCCTGAATAACTGGCTCACAATTCACAGCTGAGTGGAGATTTGACTGTAGCTTCTTGCGCTTTCTTTTTATAGTAAGATGAAATCGTACTCCCTTTCCAGGCTACTCTAAATTCCCTGGCAATATATCCTATGGATCCAAATCAACCTCCTTCTCACTACTTCTGTTCCCTGACCTAGAATTATCACTAGCAATTTTTAAAAAGAGTCTTCCTGCTCACCGACTGTCAATAGAATTGACCTTCTCTTGGATCTTGTCAGAGTGAAGACTGTCTTCCATAATAAGTTTCCTCCCAGAGTCCACCAGGCCCTTGATCTTCTCTCCATTGGCTTCTATGGTGGTCATGAAATCTTCATGTTTTTTAATGGCAGCCTCAGCAGCTTGGAGAGAACTGGGCATGCTGGTGTGAGTCAACACATATTCCTGGGAGGGAGGGAGGGAGGGAGGG